ATGTGACAGCTCTTATATCTCTAGGATATATACCTAGGAGTGGGATTGCTGGATCATATGGTATTTCTATTTCTAGCTTTTTGAGGAAGCATCTTACTGTTTTCCATAGTGGTTGTACCATTTTACAATCCCACTAGCAATGTTTAAGAGCCCCAGTCCCCCCACAACCTCACTGGTATTTGTTGTTTTCTGTTTTTTTTTTTTTTTTTTTAAATCATTGCCGTTTTTGTAGAGGTGAGATGGTACCTCATTGTAGTTTTGATCTGTGGCTCTCTAATGGCTAATGATCATGAGCATCTTTTCATGTGTTTGTTAGCCACCTGGCTGTCCTCTTTGGAGAAGTGTCTGTTCATGTCCTTTGCCCATTTTTTGATTGGATTGTTTATCTTTTTGTTGTTGAAGTTTTCTATATATTTTAGAGATTAGATCCTTATCAGACATGTTATTGTGAAAGATTTTTTTCCCTTTCTGTAGGTTCTCTTCTTTTTAGTCTCTTGATAAAGTTTTTTGATGAGCATAAGTATTTAATCTTTAGTAGGTCCCGGTTATCTAATTTATCTTCTGTCACCTGTACATTTTTATTTTTGTTTGATAGACTATTTATGCTAAAAATTAGGTCCTCTAGTCTTCACCCTATGTTATTGTCCAGAAAATTTATAGCTTTTGCTTTAACATTTAGGGCTTTGATCCATTTGGAGTTCGTTTTTGTGCATGATGTGCCATATGGATCCTGTTTAATTTTTCTGCATATGGATATCCTGTTTTTCCAGCATCATTTGTTACAGAGACTGTTTCTTCCCCATTAAATGGACTTTGGCCCTTTGTCAAAGATCAGTGGTCCATATATGGATGGATTTACTTCTGGGTTCTCAATTCTATTCCATTGGTCTATGTGTCTGTCATTGAACCAGTACCAGTCTCTCTTGAGTACTGTGGCTGTATAGTAAGTTTTGAGATTGGGAAGTGGGAGGCTTCCTACTTTGTTCTTCCTCTTCAATGTTGCTTTAGCTATTTGGGACCTCCTTCCTTTGCATATAAAGTTGGAGATTAGTTTTTCCATTTCAGTACAGTTTTGTTGGGATTTGGATTGGGATTGCAGTATATCTATAGATTGCTTCTGGTAGTATGGATATTTTTACAATGTTAAATCTTCCAGTCCATGAGCATGGAATGTTTTTCCATTTATGAAGGTCACTTTTAGTTTCTTGCAGTACTGTTAGTTTTTCTTGTATAGGTCTTTTATGTCCCTGTTTAGTTTTATTCCTAGGTATTTTATCTTTTTGGGGGCTACTGTAAATGGTATTGATTTTTTCATTTCCTTTTCAGAGTCTTCCTTGTTAGTGTAGAAGAACCCAACTGATTTTTGTGTGTTGATCTTGTACCCTGATACTTTGCTGAATCCTTCTATTAGCTCCAGTAACTTTCTTGTGGAGTCTCTTGGGATTTTCTATGTA